TCGTCTGGAATATCGTCACGTTTCATCAACAAACAAGGATCGGAACAATCCATCATACCATTGTCGAATAAAGTTTTATCCTTGCAATCCGTAATATAAGCATGACAAGGCGTCCCCACTTCCAAGCTAGACATGGCACGATACATATAAGATGCTGTATCAAACAAGATACAGTCATTAGAATAGAGTGAATGATCCGAATGGTTATATATCCAAATTAAAAAAAAATCTTACCTTCAACTATATTAGCAACTAGGAAACAGAGGATGGATATGGCAAGGACGAAGGAAATGGAGTATTTCATAGTGATAGTAAAGTAAAAATACTTGTTATTTTTTTTAGATGTTTTCGTTTCTTTTTCTGATTGAAAAACTTCAAAGGCATGCATATACAGTATTAGTATTTATAAAAAAATTTGCCTATTATGATCTCCTATTGGATCTACATCCAATTCATTTCAAATAGACACAAAATTAATTAGTATCAAGTATTAAGGATTACAAAAGTGGATTCGAATCATCGACCGAATTATATATAAAATATTCCTTTTATATCTCAAAAAAGGAAGAGAAAGAGAAATAACAAAAATAAGGTTTCAATATTTCATTTTTATTATAATTCATTAACTTTATTAATTTGGATTCTTATAAAGGTATAGACAAGCCAAGGGACCCTACTTCCAATTCTAAAAATTCGTTTAATATCAAAGTTACACGGCGTGTAACGTTTCAGATAATAGAACTTTGGAATGATTCTAAATTTTTAATTAATATTTTACGCTACGATCTAAATTTCTAATAGTTGTCAAATCTCATTCTTGATAGTTCTAAAACAATTAACGGAACTTTTTTGAAATTAGAACAAATAATTGATTTGGTCAATTAGAGTGATAAACTCATGTGAATTGACGATATTTAATACTTTTTTTTCAAATATAATATGGTGAGATAATAATATTGAAGAGAAGTTTAACTTTTTTTGAATCGCATGTATTTTTATTAATTTTTTATTCAATACATTGGTGGTAGAAGTAACAAAGGAAAGGTAAAATGAACTTTGCTTCGTTCCACTATGTTAAAATTTTTATCTCTTCAAAAAAAAAAAAAAAAATTAAAATAATGTATTTTCTCTGTGTATAAAATAAAAATTATTAATAATTAGCAATTGAAAGCGTAGCAATAATTCCCTTATCCTTTAAAATAAAATAGCGAGATTCTATAAATTCCTTCATCAATGATTAAAAGATTAAAGAAAAAAAATCTCGTCAATTTAATAATCATATTTGATGATAGAAATATGAAGTTTCAAATATTCGAAATAATTTATAAGTTTAACAACATAACCTCTTGAAAAGAGCGAGTGCGTTGGGGAGTTTGTCAAGTAGCGCGTCGAGATGGCGATTGGATGTATTTAATATAGATTAATTGAAGTTGTACTTGACTGTTTGATGGGTTCATCTAAAAAAAAAAAAATTAATAATAAAAAAGTTTGAATGTCGATTATGGGTAAGGCAAAACTTTTCATTAAATAAGAGTATAATTTTAATAATTAATATTATCACTATGAATATCAGTGAGCAATTCGGCTTCAGTCCACAAGTATCAAATTTCGATACTACTATCAATAAAGACTTTCATCAAAATACAAATTCATTATTCTGGCATAAAAAAAATCACAACTTACATTTTATAATAACGTAAATAATCAACGCAATTGCGACTCCCACAAAGACAACTGATGTAAAGGAATTTCCTGTTTTATTATTTAGTCTTCGTCGTTTTCTTGTTCTTCTGCGGATGCGTGGCTTCCTTCGAATTGGAGGTGGTCTACGATCGGGTTCTTGACGACAGGTGGTAATCTACCGCGAGTCATCTAAAAAAAAATAAGTCAAGTTTAGCGATAAAAAATATAAAAAGAATATAAATATGTAATTATAAAATAGGAATCAAATCGTTTTTATAGTTTTATACATACTTCAAACAAGAAAATTTTAAAATAAAAAAAAAAGACAAGGAAAAAACTTTATTCGACAATGGTATGATGGATTGTTCCGATCCTTGTTTGTTGATGAAACGTGACGATATTCCAGACGA